CGGGTGATGGCGACTGTGTTGCTGTGGAGCTGGGGAGTTTAGTGCGGGCCCGGCCTTCGGGGGGACTCGCTTCTCGGACAGTCGTTGTTACTGCGAGTTTCCTCCTCCTCGCTGCATCCCCTGGTGATGTACGGAGGGGTCGGAGGTTCTCGACGGACTGCAGAAGAAGCAGGCCCGCCGCCCCTAATGTTGTTGTCAGGCGGGGGAGCGGTCCCCGGGCCCCCCGGAGGAGGTGGAGGAGGAGGTGGAGGTGGGAGTAGCCGTGTGGAGCTGCTGGTGTTCGGCTATGCCTGCAAGCTGTTTCGAGATGATGAGAAGGCTCAGTACCAGGAGCAGGGGCGACACCTTATTCCTTGGATGGGAGACCCCAAGATCATGATCGATAGGTCGGTGTAACACAACCCCCAGACTCTGCTGCGAGATCTCCTGTTATAGCCTCTTTCTGTTCCTCCCCTTATGCTGTGGGCAAGTGAGGGCGGGGGGTGACCAAAGGGCTCACTCTGGCAGACGTGTGGGGATCTTCTTCGCTGGCAGACTTGGAGGGCAGCTTCTGGTAGAGTGCTTCGAATACTGCTTTTATAACGCTGCAGGGCTGTCCCCCCAGCAGCGGGAACTTGGGGTTCCCTGCTCTGGCAGTGTGGGGAGGTTCCCCTCCTTCTGACAGTCAGTGTGCGTTGAGTCTTTCTGCTCCACTTGTTAGGGTAGGGTTTACAGGGTGGAGTGGAGAGTGGGAATGATCTGTTCCTTTTCAATGCAGACCACAAACCAAGGGAGCCTTATTGCATGGAAATACTTATTAGGCACTTTATATGTTCTCTAAGCGAGTAGGGTGCAGCGTGAGGATTGGAAAGGTATTTATTGACCTTAGGGAAGATAGGCTTTTCTTATTTGTCCTACGTAATCTGGCTGCAGGCTGTTGTTGGAATACCCCAAAAGCGATTCTTGACCTAATTACTTTTTCCTTGTGCCATGACTCACTGTATTAGGCAGAATGGCTTTGATTTTGGGTGCTTGCTTTTGAAATTTTATGTCAGGCTGATTTTTTTTGGTTGTTTTGCAGTAGGTAGAGGTTCATGGCCAGAAAGGGTAACAGAATCTGCTTTGGTGTTTCTTGTGGTCTCTAACTTGTTTCAGCAGTGCAGGATGGGATTTAAAAATAAATTCATTCAGAATTAATTTTCTGAATGTTTTCCTGGAGAGAGGCAAGATGGGAGGTCAGGCTGGGTATATCTGAGTGGAGCACTGAAAGTACAATTTAAGAGTTGTGGCTGACCCTGAAAACCTCAATGGGAAAGATGGAAGGATTTTGGCTTGGAAAGGATCACATGACATACTATAGATATTTGTTCCCTCAATTTCATCACTGTTTTGGTGCTATACATGATTTTTCTGGTTTTAACAACTGTATTTGGCTTGGAAGAATATCAGTAAGGGAATGTCTTTTCATTTCCTTCCATAAGACTGGAGAAAAAAGAAGTGCCCAATGCCCTTGCACTATTTGGGGTTTATGCCATTAATGATTTTTGTGATTGAGATTAATTTGTTAAACTGGAATAAACACAAAGACATGAAAAAACAACCATGAGTGTTTGTAGCTGTGGTTAATTTCTTGCTTACATGAGAATAGAAGTGTTACGATGCACACTTCTAATCCAGATCACTTTTGTGACAGATTTCATTAGTAGGTGGAGGCCATTTTTGTGGTCCTGTGCAACAGTAACCAGGTTTACAGGCGTTACAGAAATTGTTGGGACCAAAAACTAAGTATGTGCATGTATGTGAATATAATACCAAAAAATCTAAATAACATACATTTGTAAGTTAAGGTAGCTTGCAATTACTAATCTTACATACTCCTTTGGAAGCTTAGATTCTTTTTATCTCCAGCAGCAGGAAGTCTTCATTTTCACCATTTTAAGAAAAGCACATTGCTATGAGAAGACATGGGTTGAAGTTTGCCTGTGGACAGAGCTTGATTAACCAGATCTACGTGTTTCATTAACTTTTTGCTATAAGAATATTTACTTTCTTTGTTTTTGATCTAGCAAGTTGGCACAAGTCAAGAGTTGTGTGTGGGAAGACACCTCAGCGGAGTCGAGTTTACTGTCACTTTACTTTTCAATCAGTTTCTCTTACTGATGCATAAACATTATCCCGATGCAGTGCTTTTCCTGCAAATAAAATTATTTCTGCTTAGTAGAAAGGAACTGTACGTCATTGATCTTTGCCGTTTTTACGGTGAACCTCCTTAAATTGCATGTATATGTTACTGTTCCTATGTATGTGTGTCTCTCTATCACATAACCCAGAACTTATTTCCTCAGCCAAATGGCTAGGGGCCGAGCCTAGCCATGATTTTACCTCCAATGGACGCAAGTTTCTATGGTGAAGATATCTCCTGAGAGTTCGGGACTAGCAGAAAGAAGCGAGGAAATTTCGACCGTTTGGTTCTTACGGATAGGTATTTATGTATTCGGGTTTGTGTGAATGTAAGCTATTTGACTTTCCAGAAAAACGTATTTTGCAAGTGACATTGATTGGTTGGTTGAAGCACGTACGGTAAGAGCTGTTAAGGAAATGGATCTCACTTAAACTATTAAAGGATACCTTTGCCTTTAATTGTAATAATTTATTAGTTTCTTTGAGAGGAATTTAGACTATTAAACAAATTTTCAATAGTTGGTGACAAATGATTAGCAAAATTAAACGTAACTTCTAAAAGGAAATATGCTTTAACATATAAGTATTTTTTTTCATTTTTAATGGGTAAGTATTTAAGTAGTCACATAAACCCAAGCCCTAAGTTTTTTGCATTGACCAGCTGTTTCATCTTGCAGGTACGATGGACGTGGTCACCTACATGACCTTTCTGAATATGATGCTGAATATTCCACATGGAACAGAGATTATCAATTGTCTGAAGAGGAAGCTAGAATAGAAGCCCTCTGTGATGAAGAGAGGTATTTAGCCTTGCATACGGACTTGCTTGAGGAGGAGGCGAGGCAAGGTATTGCTCAAGGAAACTTCCTGAGTTTAGCACATGTTTAAATAAATAATTGTGAAATTAAATTTACTCCTAATTTTATACTCTCTTTTTTTGATGTTATCTTGACAGTACCCAGTGGATTCGAAAAACGGGAGTCTTTGCGTATGTGAGAGGACCTCAGGATAGTTTAAATATAGATCCACACAGAAATTGCCCAGATTCTGAGGGCAGACTGGGATTTCAGACCCCCAAAAAACCCCAAATAAACACATTCTGCATCATTTTTAGTGTCGTATAAATGAAATTCTGTGCTTTTGTATGTATAATTACATTAGAGTGTTTTAACCCACAGCGTTTATCTCTTCAGGAAGAAATAAGTAATCAGCATATGTACATGCTGTCTTTTTCTGTTCAGTTTTTAATGAAACCTAAAATGATTAGCTAAAAACTTCTCATTTAAAAACTAAAGTAAGAAATATTACTTTTTTTTTTTAAAAAAAAGAAATTAGCTTTTAAATATGTTCTAATGATGGTAATTGCATTTTTGTTCAAGAGGAGGAATATAAAAGACTGAGTGAAGCTTTGGCAGAGGATGGTACCTATAATGCAGTGGGCTTCCGTTATGGCAGTGATTATTATGACCCTTCAGAACCCACTGAGGAGGAGGAACATCAGCCTGCAAAACAAAGAGGTAGGGGGTAAAAATAGCAAGGGAAGAACAACATAGCACTTCTGTGTCGCTCACTTGCAGTTGCAGGTTGAAAATGTGTGTTTCTTTAAAATGCAAGTAAAACAATCTGAAAGCATTTCAGCCAAGTCTTTATGGCACTGTGTTACTGAGTTTTTGCAAACTTTACTCTAGATGTGCTTAGAAGTTTTCCTGCTACAGCACAGTCAATACTACAGTAGTCAGGATAGGAAATTTAATTCTGCTGTATGGCAGATTCTTATTCAGAAAAAAACCAGTTAATTCATCACATGGCTGGCTGTTAACACTATATTTCTTGGTCAAGAAGGAAAAGATCATTACAAACAGAATAGTAATTAGCAAGAATATATGTTTTTCAAGTTTAGATTTGGTTGTCTTAATTACTATAAACGAGTCCATCTTCAACACAGTGTACCCCTCTCTGTGATCTTAGAAAGTGCAGAATTCAGGTTCTCATCTTCCTGTCTTTAATTATGATAACTTTGCATTTTTGCATGAGTCTTAAGGAAGGTTTCAAGTGTTATTGAACTATATCTTAGTAAAGTTAGGATTTTTAATTAACAATTGGGTTGTCTAACTACATATTGGTTGGTTACCCTGGTATGAGATGTGCTTTTTTTACCAAGGTATGACTACAATGCAGGATCATTTTAGGTGCTAAAGCTTATTTAGTGATTTATTTTTTTTACTGCTGTGTGTGAGAGGTTGTGTCAGGGCAGTGTCCATGCTGCTTGCGTTCTCCCAAAGGTTTCTCCTGTAGTCTTCAGTACTGATGCTGAATTGCATTGTCTTAGAAATCAAATAGTTTCTAAGTTCTATTTAGATACAATTTTTGAGTGTTTCTTGTCACAGGGGTGTTTTTCATCTTGTGTAGATCTGTGTATATATAGGGGTAAGCCTGTGAAAATTTGGAGGTGGTAAAGAAGAACACGTTTGTAGTTTGGCTCCCCCATCTTTCTCTACTGCATAGAGGTCATAAAAGTGAATGCCCTCTCTTTGTTGGCCACTACAAAGGGAATCTGCTGGACCTTATAGGGTGTCTGTATTGTAGGAGGCCTTTGCAAAACTGCGTGAAAATGTGCCATAATGTTACAGAATCTACCTTTGAGTGTATAAGGAATAAATAAAAATTCCAGTTTCATTTGGTAAGATGGCTGTCATGAGTTTGTGTCTGAGTTGCTCCACATTTTTGTTTCCTGGAAAGATGAGAGATCTAGAATAATGTATTTCAGCCTTAATGAAGTCCTATTTTTAGGAGTAATGCTAAAATATCATGATTTAGTCATTGGCAAAGAGAGTCTTCAACTACCCAGTCTTCCAACAAGTTAATATTTAGTTAATTAATATTTGTTGCAGCATGGAAGTGTTATGCTAAGCTATTACAAAATCTTGCAGTGTAATGTGGGAATTCTCAGTGCTGCTGATGAGAAGCAGAGATCCTCATGGCAGGTCATTGGAACATTGTGAGCTTTCTTACTAAACTCTTTATCTTCTAGAAAATTTTTAGTAATGCTGGATAACAAAGGGGCATTTTCTAATAACACTTGATAGTACTTGGGGAAAAGTGAGATAGAAATATCTGTGTTATGTTTTGCTGCTGTTGAACTGTACAGACTTTTAATAGATTGCTATAGGGTAACAGTTTCCCATAATGCAGGGCTGTGATTCTTAACTTTCATTTTTAATAAATCAGAGTAGAGTTAAATTCAGTATTGGAAGATGCAGATAACAGTAATGTGAATTACAGGCCGTAGTTCTGTGAAGACTTCAAGTGTTAGCTGGAGCTGCCGCCACCAAAAGAAACAGTCCTTTTCTGCTTTGTCTGCTGCTTCTTCCTCCTTTGCTTGATGCTAAAATTTCTGTGTGCCTTTGTGGAGTTAAACTATTTGAGAAAATATATGTTTTCTATTTGATTTGACACTTCTTTGTCTTCAGCACTATAGTCAGGGCTAAGGTTTATAGAGTTTTATACTTCCTAATACCTCTATTGAGACGTAATTTATGCATTCTTAATTAAACTACACATAACACCAGGAGAGGAACCGTATTTAAATGTCTTTAGTGCAAATGCTGGTTATAGTTTCATTTGATAAATTCCTTGATTGCACATCCTTTTAGATATACTTTATTTTAATGATTTTTTGTTAACATTTGGGTGCTTTGACATGTTTTGTCCTACATTATTTTATTCTGTCATTTCTTGTAGACACGGCTCAGACAGAAAACGTTGAAGAAAATGAAGAACCTTTTGTTGCCCCTCCGGGACTGAACGTACCTTCTGATGTGGAACTGGTATGTATGTGCATTTAATGCAACCTATATTTCTGTCAATTTTCAAGTAGTT